CAAATGCTGCAAGTGGCTCTTGCAAGAGGCTGCGGGAAAGCAGAGAAGCACGTCTCAGCCGCACAGTGCCATCTTCCCAAAGTGCCCACAAGACTTCCTGGAGCCAAGCATGCTTCCATCCAAGTTACAGCTCAGCCTGCCCGCCCTGGGGACAGCCCTCACCACCCCAGCCCACGCTGACGGCTGTTTGTACAAGCCATGTATATGCCTGGGCAAATAAACAGGTAGAAACCAGGAGGTGGACTTTCCCTTGGGGCTTTCAGAGTGGTTGAGTGCAGAGGCAAGGTATGAAATGCTGCAAAAGGGATGATGAAAAGATGGGCATTGCGAGGGTGCCTGTTCTTTATAGGAAGGGTTAGAGCAGCTTTAAAGCACAGTGGCATTTAACTGCTGGTGCAAAAGCAGACAGTGGCCCCTGGCCAGGCACACAGCAAGAGAACAGGCACCAAGACCCCAGCAGCATTCGTGTATGTGCCACCCTCCCCATCTCACATCAGCAGTCGTTGGAAAATGGTGTCCAGATGAGGCTAGTCAGAGCCCATCGACTGTTCGTAGGCAGCATCACCCCCGTTGAGTGGTTTGTGGTGCAGGTCGGTCAGGGGCCGGTGCCGGAGCAGCACCCAGGACTGCAGAGCCCCAGTCGGGACCCCGGCCCACGGGTGCTCCCTCCGCAGCAGATGCTCACCCAGGTGCAGTGGATAAATACAGCCTGCAAAAACGCAGAGGAAACCGCACTTCCTTAAACTGCTGCAGAACACGATGGAAACGTTTAATAAAAGCTGCCAGGAAGGTATCATTTATCCTGCGTTTGCCAAGGCTTTTGATAAAATCTCATGTCAGAGACTATTAAAGCACCTTATCAAAGGTTAAAGGGGAAAAGTCCCCGTTTGGCAACAGAAAACAAAGACGGGGAACATCTGTTCCTCGAAGCAAAAAGGAGCAAACGCTGAAGCACAGCAGAGGCCACTACTGAGGCATCATTATTATTTAAAACCGCTTCTGTATTAATGAGACACAGGAAGAAAAGAAAAACGAGGCAAGGAAAGCCGATAATAGCACAAACTTACTTTGCTTTGACAAAACAGAAAGAGTTGGGGGAAAAGCTATGCTGTGAGATGTGTTTCACAACACGAGAGATTAAATTATCACACCAAAGTTACAGTTTTCGTGTCAAAAGCACATGACCAGCCCCACGTGCCAGTGGAAGTAGTTTCAGTGCATTAAACCCAGTATTCAGCACAAACGGGGCCATTTTACCAGCAACTTCACTGTGAATTCTGCAATGAGAAAAAAAAAAAACCAACAAAAAACCCAAACACTTTCACTGTCATTTCTTACCCTGGTTTTAATCAGCAACATTTTCTCATGCTCTTGTGATGCTGCAGTTTCTTGGTTACAAACATCGCAGGGCGAAGCCGCATTGTTTTGTTTAAAAAATAGTTTCTGCTGACATTTAAGAAACAGAACAGGGAGAGTTCAAATGCTGATCATTTTGTAAACGGCAAAGATGCAGGCCCAGGTCAGAAGCCTACACGGATCAGAAATATTGCTTAGATTTAACCTGGATGTATACGCAACAAAGCACTTTGGCCGAAGAAATCTGAGCTGCTCACAAACCATGCTCTGAGTCATACAAGGAAAAAAAAGAATGAAGCAATGCAGGCCCTGCACCTGTTAAGGTTAAGGATACCTGTCGCGTCCTCCTGTCTGCGCGGGAGGCAGCCGGCTTTGATGTGATGGAGCGATTGGGGTTCTATCTTTTCTTTTTCCTTTTTGCACTTCCTAAGGTGTGCAGAGCGGTCTGTTCTTGAAGCATCGGACCAAATCGCTCCAGATCACAGAATTTCTGCTGGTGATTTTGCACGTAGATGGCAAAACAAACCTTTTGGGAAAAAAAGGAAAAAAAAAAAAAAAAAAAAAAAAAAAAGGCATTTGATCATTTTTTAACTCTAGAAAATCATTATTTAACTCTAGGAAAATGTTACATGAAGCAGGCAGTTCCAGCAGTGTGGGCTCTCCCCAGGGCTGCTGGATCCATCGCTACTCTTTTAGGGTTTTGCTTGTGATCCTGCACGAAAAGGACGTTTGCCCGGATGCACAGGATTCCCTTTCTGATCCCACACGTCCCCCAGCAGCTGTTCCAACTGTGGGATCCCAGCAGAAGCACGGGGTACGCACGTGCTGGCTGCAGCAGCAGTGACCTGAAGCTGCAGCGATGTGGCTCGCTGCTCCCTCTTGGCTTCTGCTGGCAAAGCCGCTTCGCTGCCCGCTGCTTGCCCACGCCAAGACTCACCCCAGTGCAGGCAGGAGGGACGGGTGCACGTGTCTGCTGGGGCATGTGCAGATCCACCTGAGGATGCTCCACCATCACCTGTGACAAGAAGCATGCTATTAATTAATCACTGCAGTGATTTAATTACACCCAGTGCCCACCTCTGTACCCTGGTCCCGTTTAGTTTCAGCTCTAGGGGGTCACATCCGTACCAGTACTAATGTGCTGCATGGATACCCCTGCACGTGTTCTCCTTCCTAGGGACCCTTTCCCACATTTCTTGTCTCCAGATGTGACCATCCCACCCCCAGAAACCACAGGTAGGGACAGGGGCAGCCCCTGGCAAAGCACCCGCAAGGCAGGTACCTCCCTCCCACTCCTGTGCTAACACGGGGCATGAGGCAGCGTCACCAGACCTCACCACCTCGGCACGAATTTCCATGTGTTTGGGTTTTCTTTCGGTCGTGCTACCACCTGGACATCTCAATTTATTTTTTTTTGTTCCCCCTCTATTAAAGAAGTAAGTGTCTAGCCCTCAGGCACGTGGGAAAAAAAAAAAAAAAAAAGATGAAAATATGAAAATATGATTCAGTTCCCTCTCCCCACCAAAAAAAAAAAAATCAGAAAAGGAAAAACCGTAAGGCCTTCAAAATCAGCAGTGTTCATTTTTTCTTTTCTCTCATTGTTTTCCTTATGTTCCATAATTATTTTTTTATTTTAAACGAGGTGCTGGTAGTGGAGGCGATGGCTAAATGCTGGAGAAACGTTAGATCAGAGCATCCAATTACCACCCCTCAAAATACTTACGGGGTTTGTTTTTTGGAATTATTTTTTTTTTTTTTTTTCAGATTGAAATCATGTATCAGGGAGCACGCAGACATGATACGAAGCCAATGCTCAGCACATCAGCTCGGATCGATGGCAATCAGAAGATCCCGAGACCTTCTGCCCTCTCCAAGAGGAGGGAGAGGCCCCGAAGAAGAGTTCAAATTCCAGGTCAGGACTGTGGGTGCCGCGTCCTTGATTCATCTCTCCTGTCAAAACCATCGGTCAAACGCCCCACGGCTGCTCACGGAGAAACAACTTCCGTGCGTTGAGCTTGAAATGCTTTAGGAGAGCAACGCGGAGGAGCCTGAAAATCAATTAATTACACAAGTAATATCAGTGACTTCCTGAAGGTGCTTGGTGCCGGGTGCTCCCGTGCACCTCTGGTCCTCTGCACTATGGCCCAGGGCTGCTACGTTCACTAGGAGATAAAAAAAGTAATTAAAATCAGGCGGGAAAAGCAACATTTTCATTTCTTCTCTTTCTGCTTGTTTTCAGGCAGGATTTTTTCAAAGACAGTTGCACAAAAGGCAGTCTTTGAATTAACAGGCAATTACTTAATTAGGTACTTAATTGCAAATTACAAGAAGCAAAGTGCCTTTTTCTTTGGCAATGGCAAACCGGGCCCTATGCTCTCCGTTAACACCGAAATCCCCTCCTTTCCAGGGAAAACTTGTCTCGCGTGTAAAGCAAGACAAGGTTTAAGTGAGAATCATTTGACTTTTGGCTTTGAACGGTTGGGAAAAGGGTCTTTAGAAGCACGCAAACCACCTCCAGGTGGAAAGATGAACTGAGAAGATGCTGGAAATCAGACTTGTTGAAAGTATCTTAGATCCCAGTGATGTATGAATTAAATGGGTAAGCAAAAATGGGATGCTTTGCAAATCACTGATGGAGAAGGGCTGACTTCGGCAAATACTCTTGGATAAGAAGGGATGTCCTGGTTGTACGGGTGCAGCTTTCTAGGGCTGTGCTGAACTCATCACCACCTGCTTCAAAACCTCAAAAAAAAATGCTTACCTTTTTTCTGAAGCGTGCTCCAACCCAGATTTTGGGTTAAAAAAAAAAAAAAAAAAGGTCACCAGCTGCGGCGCCCAGCCAGGTTGCAGCACTCCTGCTGCAGTAACTGCAGCCCTCCACGGCCCACGCGCTGACAGAGACCCTTGAAGATGGCACCTGCGGGCTCCTCCGGGCCACCGTCTTGGCTCTGCATCCAGAAAAATTTAAATGTTAGCCAAATTTTGCCCATCATCAATCATAGAATCATAGAATGTTTAGGGTTGGAAGGGACCACTAGAGGTCATCTAGTCCAACCCCCCTGCAGCAAGCAGGGACACTGCTAACCAGATCAGGTTGCTCAGAGCCCCATCCAACCTGGCCTTGAATGTTCCCAGGGATGGGGCCTCCACCACCTCTCTGGGCAA